TTGTCTCCGTGATCCATGACAGGGTATTATGAGGCGAAAAAATTACGACCGAAATGAGGCGTGGAGGTAATCGCATTACCACATTCATATCGTCATAAACGATCATAATCAAAAGATGTTAGGATTTTATTGAATCAAGTTTCTCAACTTGGAACTTACTATTTGCATACCGAAAGATTAATTTGATTACGAAGGTTTGCGTTTGCAGAGTTATTAGTCAAAGTATTACTCTCATCGAAATGATGAAACAATTTATATATTGTATAAAAACTGTCGTGTCATAAAAATTATTATAACAAACAATTTAAAAAGAATAAGCAAAAATATCAAAATTTTTATATACATGGCGTATTACAGTGAAAAACTCCTAAAAATAACTTCTATCGCGCATTGTACATTAAATTAATTAATACTGCATAATTATCACGATAGATTACGCAATGTCAAATTTTTCATTAACATATATAACAATTGGCATTCTCGGCGGCTATGCAATATTCGAACCGTATAATTAAATCTGAAGCGTGGAGGCTAATTACAATGGCCCTTCGCAAATACGTCGCTCATTACGATTTAGTAATTGTTCCGGCGCGTAATAACGCCGGTATCTGTACAGTATTATTGTTCGGTGGGGTGTTATTGCCTGAAACGCGTATAACATAATTACTCTAACGCAATTAGGAGTGCCGCACATTGGTCTGCTTCTTGTCTCTGAAAACGGACCGCTCTCTCGACACAGATTGGATTAACGAATATTATGAGCTAGACGTCAAACCCCAAAAATCAATATCACTATCAACCGCGATCATTAAATTCTATGCAAACATGATTATGAATTAAAAAAGCAGATTGAATACAGATAAATATAGACTTGTTAAAAATAAAATTTCGCAATTTATAAAACTTAATGATACCTATGATATATGTATGAATAAATAAATAAAAGATATATATTTGTCAAATACGCATATTTATTCTCATGAGGAATATATTTGTTATTTATTTGCGTAAATATTACAAATGTATACCATTTTACATATCTGCCTTTGGAGGGAAAACTAAAATAAATTAAACATAATTATATTAGTTGATACATTCATTGTTAAAAGAGAGAAAAGGCTCGTCTAAAGATTGATCTAAATGGACTCAGTTTCTTGATATCAGCAAATAAAAATTACAAGACCATTGATAAAAATGATTTTATTATTTGTCATACACATTAACTGTTCACACAGCATTCACTTTGCAGAGAAGTAAAGAGTAAGATCACTAATAATTTACTCCGGAAATTTTTAGCGTCTATATCAAAATAAGAATGAAAATATAGAAAATGTATATTACAATTCAAATTTCGAAATCAACATCGTAATACATATTTTTTTCCATAATGTAAATAATAACTTCTGTACAATAAATAATTCTTTTTATAAAAAAGTTGATTTGATCTAATTCTCTTTCTTCTTACTTAAATTAATTTTATATACAATTTTTTAAATGATTTTATGACTAAGATCTCGCAATTTGAAACGTATAGAAATTATAAACAACCACATAATCAAAAAGCGTGAAATAAAATGACTTGTTGCCATTGCAGCAAATGTATTTTAGAGAATATTACATGCATTCTACAAAAGTATATGGCGTGCATTACGTCCTACAAGGATAAATTTACGAGTAAAGTATTAGGTGACGATTATCTGAGTATTCCTTTCAGTTTTAAGGTTTCTGGGTAGGATCTCTTTATACTCGGGCGACTCACAACTGTCAGACCGCAAGATTGATATGAGAATACCATCGTTATTGCTAAAATGCAGCCCTAAAATATCACAAGGCGTACGTGCACGTGCAAGAAAACCGCAAAGTCAAAATAAACTGCATGTATTAATTTCTTTCATGTGGAGAATCGATCGGCTTTACGCATAAGACGAATACTGTCGCTCCAAACAATAGAGACTAAAATAAGGAAAATGACAACTGTTGGAGAATACCAAAACGTTAATTATTTTAATAAATAATTACAATTTAAATTTTATAAAAATATTTCATCTAGAAAGTTAAAAATTGTGAATAAGATGATATATTTATATAATTAAGTCTCGTCAGAGGGGACATCTCTTCTGAGATATCATATATAATTCTGAAAAAAGATTTCAAGATTATATAACAATAAGTCAATTTAAATACACAACTGGCATATAGATAAACTCGAGCAGAACCAATAATTACTAGACAAAAATCGTACAATGCAAAATAATATTTTTATCAAATCTTTGTAATGCTGCCAAATCTTTAACCGAACAAAAAAATAGTTATACATGATAAGTTCAATAAAATATGTGAGTACCTTGCGGATATTGTTAGTGGCTGTTTTAGAAGTTCCTTACTAACGGATAACAGAACCATCCGCAAGTCAATCCAATTGGACAGATTCAAAAGCGAACAGCGACAGGCAAATACGAGCGATCGGTTATCGAAGCGATTAAATGTATATACCGTGTCTGTCTCTCTATCCCGGCCATGCAAATATGCGCAGGCAAACTCGGAAGCCACGCTTTCCAACAAGAAAACACCAACCACGTCAATGTGGCCCGCGTGGTGAGCGTTCGTATGCACAACCGGCACCGTCCTACTCTCGTGGGAAATGCTGTCGATTATATTTGCGCCATAGCGAGCGCCATAGACGCACAAGATACGCCGGAGTTCCCGGACGAACGGGAGTGGTAGGTCCATCGTCCTCCTGCCGAACCTGCTGTTTGCGCCGGCACTCTAATTAATTATCCGCTGTCTCCGATAATGTAACACGAAGCGTGAGGTGCGCTCCGGCACTACGAATATCCGAGATTACGACCGTTCTGACTAGCGAGAGCGGAAAATTTTACACTCACACAACGAGTAACCTCTGCAACGAGGGAAATTTTCCGCAATCTTACTTGCAAATAAAAATTTCCATTTAAAAAATTATCTCGGAACTAAATACATTAGTAATTTGTAGTAGCAATTTGCAGTAGTTAAAGTACCAAAAATTTGTCGGAGACCGATTAATAAACAATATTAATATATGGATAAACCATTCATCACTGGATAAAATTGTCAGTTTTTTTTATTAAATATAAATAGATTTAATGTTTCTTCAAGTAAAAAATTGAAGATATTATTGTAAAAATATCTAATATTAAAAATCGAGGTCATATAAAGTACGTAAAAAATCAATTAAGAATATAGATAGATAAAAATTTATTATTTTTTCTAACATAATAAACTTAGCCTTAATTTCATTTTAGATTTGCCAACGTATTTAATTATAGAAATAAAAAATTTGAGATATGTAATAATTTTAATCCCAAAAAGTAATCTTTTGATATAATTTTATTAACTATAAATTTATTGAATAACTTACCATATTAAAACCATTCACATTTAAATTCACTATCTGTTTAACAACGAAGTGAGTATGTATTTCAATTTAAACAAAGCAAGCGTCCGTTTTGAAGCAAGATTTGTTATTATTAAAACCGATAAAAATCGATAGAAACAAAATCAAAAGGAAATAAAACCTTCGGTAACTTCTCATTGTTTTTACTTTCCACTGGCAAACGGAACGTACAAATGGAACATATGAATGTTATATATTTGCGCTCACCCACCGGATGGACAAATATTCGTCCAGTACCATACCACTCGATAACATGGGGAGCTAGTAAAAGAAGTCACGCTGTTCTATTATCAAAGCTAAGAACTCGTAGCTAACCGCTTATGTGTAAATGGACACGAGACTTCGCAAAACTCTTCTTACGATAACGACAAATTAAGACAATTGTTTGCTAATATTAGTGATTATATTTACGAACAATTTCGTTATTTCTGCTAAAATTCCTAACTTTAAGTAATATATTTTTCACGTCAAATTAAAAGTATTTAAAATTTTTACTTTTTGTACTTTTAACAAAAACAATTTCAAGGATAGCTAATTATATCCTTTAATTGATCATTCACTGTTACATGTATCAAAATATATAATCAATCCTTAAATTAATTTGTTGTCAAGCAAAATGACTTTAAGCTAATGACTAAAAACTAATGATACGTACTCGACAGTTTACTCGAGTATAACTAAAGAACTTCGGAATGAATGAGGTGGAATAAATGTAGGTTTGAAGTATGCACTTGGTAATGTAGAAGGCTAATAGAAGAAGTCACGCAGTGCTATTGTTAATGGACAATACTGCAGATGGTTAAAACGATTTTCATCGCCCTATGCTCGCTATTCAGTGCCAGTGCGCAAAACCACTTAAAGTTCCTTTGTACGCCGACCGATATCAGTGTGAAGACCGATGTTAGTTGATGGTAAATCAAAATGTTTTATCGCAAAGAATATCGATTAGTGATATTTCATTATGTGCTGATAATATTTAATTATACCTATATTGAAATATACTCCACATCAGAAAGTAAGTATGAATCTTTTATTTTAAATGATAAAATATTCCACATATCCATTGCCAGCAACATAAAGAATTTAAATAATATACAATAAGACTTTCAAGTATTCTATAAAATGTATGATGGCTTTTAGTAAAAGCATATAAAAAGTTTTATTTTTTACTTATTCTAAAATGCTAGAAAAATTTTTTTTAACATAAAGCTTTTTGGACATAAATCTTGATAGCAGTATTTTAAAATATGTAAGTTATCTCTCTCAATTTTTATACTATTTCTATATTGCACAAAAACATTTTAAAGAAGTTGTATATAATGCCAAGCAACATGCATAAAAGTATAAATCATGCAGAAAGTATTTACTAACCTTAAGAATACCAAAAGATATTTTTTACATATTTCATAAAATCTAAGCATTAATAAAAAATAAATGCTTTCGATAAAAAATAAATTCATCTTTATTTTACTTTCCAAATAAAATTATTAATATTAATAATGGATAAGCACAAGATGTATTTATTTTTGATAATAATATTAAAATGTGATTTTTAGCATTTCTCTCTTTATTATAAATTTAAGATCCTTTCCAAAATGACAAAAAGAATTTGAAATAAAGATTCTATTTTTAAGTTGCTCCATGTGCTCCGATATCTGTAACAACGCAAATCATAAGAAATTATAATAAAAATATTAATATTTAGAAATGTGTATTTAAAGTAAAATGTAAAAACTCACAAACAAACTGTATATTTCCTATCGCAACTGTACATGATTATAATGATGCTTTATGGTATAACTTTCAACATTATTGTCCCAAACTACTCTTAAATATTAATGACAGATTATCTTTTCATTATTCTGTAACAGAAATAAAAAATTCGTAAAATTTTTAACGTACAAAATTTTGCATATTAAAAAATTTTCATTTATATATATATTGAATATCAGGTTCTTACATTTTTCTTGAATGTCTTCAATTTATGATTTCATCATGTTTAAATGTCATCATATTTAGATATCATGTTTGCGAAGGCTCCAACCTGCAACAATTTTTAAAATTCATATTCATTAAACAAAAAAAAATTTTATTTATTTATTAATAAAGGATTCTAATACAATTTAATAAGACATAACTCTTCGATAAAACTACACACATTCTATTTATCGACACATATAACTTGCAAATTCGGCAGTCAAAACATGTCTTGTGCAACAATTATTACAAAAACTATATGTACAAACAATTACATGTCAAACGTACCAAACGATGTTAAAATTTTAAAAACGCCGCACGAATGTTCCAATGAAGTCACGCCATTTGTAAATGGCGGCAGTCATGTGACCATGATCTGCCTATACGAAAGCACCAATCGCTTCTGTAGGTTTTGAATGCAATAGTCGACGATAGCGTTGACGAGACGCGGTTGATGACCTTCTACGCTGAATATGAGTTGCACGATTAATCACGATCATATAAGATCACGTACTAAGCAATGGTCGCATTCAGCAACATCTTCGTGATATCTCAACAGTAAAATGGCGGGGCATTGTTCGCTAGCGCGCAAACGGACTTCCGAATGGTTCAGAATAATTGTGACATTCGCGTCCACCAGCTGATTACAGACGACGCTTGCACCGCGACGAACGTCTGACACGGCGCAGAAAACGTTTGCAATCATTTCTAATGCGCGAGATTTGCTCTTGAATGGTAACGAAACATGAAAAACACGGAGCAACTTAAACGAAACTCCTCCACTCGTCGCGACGCAGCCATAACTGACCGCGAGTGGCGCGAGTCCACACTTCACACAGCTGCGACGCCAACGATTGGCGGACGTCCGAACGACGAACCAATTACGTTGCGATAATTAAATCTAGTCACTTTCGTTTCGCGCCTTTTTGAGTTTTGTGGAAAAAAATAAAATTTCACTCAATTTTTGGAAGCAGAAAGGAGCCAAGGGAAATGAACGTAGAAAATGCAGCGAACATTACAACGGAAATAATTATTATTTAATGTAGAAATTAAATTCGAGATGTATCTTACCGATTACTGAAATACTATGGATATTCGAATGATTATAGCTTACGATTCTTACGAATGATCGACACGCAAATGATTGCATTAAGCAACTGAATATAATTAATTTATATATAAATCATATAAATCCAATAAGGAACTAAGGGCAAAACCAATCATATTAAAGAATTTTACAATCGTTGCAAAGCTGCTTTTTCTGTTGAACGCAGCCAATGGCTGTACCTTTGGTCGATGCAAAAAGAAATATTTTTAAAGCAACAGACATCCAATTTTTAAGTGTAAAAATATATATATTATATAATAGGATAAAATATACTAGAGTACGTAATTTTAATATAATTATATATATATAATATATATACATATATATATAAAGAATTATACTATATATAATATAATTATACATATAGAATAGGTATTCTAATATCTTAAAGAATAGGTATTCTAATATCTTATATTAGAATACCTACTAATTATATTAGAATAATGAATAATAGGATATTATATAGAATATATATATATATATATATATATATAACTATTGTACAAAAAAATAGGAATATGAGAGAAACAAAAAATTATATCAAGAGAACATTTTTTTTGCACAAAAGATTCGGAAATAAAACTTTATTATTTATATAAAATATATTGTTATTATGCATCCATAAGAGCATACATATATTTTTGATTTCTATATGACAACATTTAGGAATGTTTCTTGCCATTAATTGATCGCCAAGATGTAAAAGATATCATGTGTAAATTAACATAGCGCAATAATTTACCGGGATTACATGATGAAAGATTCGAAATTGCTTATCGGATCAGATACACACGCGCGCGCGAATGTGTATGTGTGTATATACCCATGTCAATATCTAGATTTTTCTCCATTTTCCTATCTCAATTAAGTCAAACATCAAATTAAAATGATTACATAGCTAAAGTTTTTAAGTTGCATAAAACCTTTTCGTGTAACATTTCTCACAGAGAATTACAATTGTATTTACTGTATTCATCTATTTACAGTGAATCATCACTTTGATAGCTCCACCTGCTCCAGTTCTGCTGGTCTCAAACGCTTGCATAGTATCCTCTAATTTGTAATTATGAGTGACCAACGACTTTACGTTTACTCTGCCAGATGAGATAAGCTCCAATGCATCTTTATAGCTGCAATGAGAAACGAAAAAATTATATAGCATATAATCTTTTATGAAAATAACATTAAGATAATTAATCTATGTGAAGACTATAAATTAAAAACTATAGAATTCCTGGGATGCTATTTTGTACACGTCTACTGCAGCTTTGTTGTTATACAAAATATCTATGCAATGACATATACAATGGCATCGACAACTATCGGTAGATATATGTACAGAATAGAGCCCCTGAAAAATACAACAGCTATTTTTCTCAATAATTAATTTGGTACAAAGTGTTAGTATTAATATGTACTTTTCGCATTTAACGTATAATTTGACTAATTAGAACTTACTCATTTACGTATCGGAAAACACCCCTGATATCGACTTCTCTTATCAAAGCGTTTATTAGTGGAATTTGTACCTCTGGAGCACCCATTCCCACTAATACCACGACTCCACCAGATTTGGTCGCCTAATATACAGTACAAATACGATTTATAATCTTAATTTCTTTAGATTGTTAAGTAATTTAAGATAATTTAATAAATATAAACAATTCAATTTAATAATAACACGGATATATTTTGTAGCTTACAAGAATCGCTAAACGAATCGAGGATTGTGCACCAGAAGCGTCTATCGTTCTATTAGGTTCACCTTCAAAAATTGCATGAATATCAGCTACTACATCCTTCTCCAATCTATCCTTTTGTATCAGATACGTAACGTCGGCGCCAAGTTTCTTTGCTATGTTCAGTCTACTTTGCAAGATATCTATAAACAAATCGCGCCTACTTACATCTCATTTACAAGTTGTATAGGCTTGCAGTTAGTATTTTTCAAAGAAGAACTTATACTACTTATAAAACGTGCTTTGTGCTATCTACAAAAGAATGAAAATGTATTAGAAAGAAAGATGCAGCATCCTTGAAAAAGACAACGCTATACGTCTACAATGTGTAGTTCAAATTATTTGCAATAGAAAAACGACTACTTGACGATATGCGATACTTTGCGACTGCGTGACCTCGACTTAATATACTTAATATACTTAACATACTTAATATACTTTCTTGTTCCATAGGTAGTATCTATCATGCTAAATGCAGCCTTGACGAAGCTTATCTCGTGATCGACATTGCAGCATCATTACGTATATTACACCACATCTCGAATGCGCAATAATATGGATGTTTTTCTCATTCGCAATACGTAATTCACAATTATATAACTTGATAAACTATTTATGTCGCTTCACAAACAAATTTGTGATAAGTTTTACGTCAAAAATTTTGTTATCGCGACGCTACGAATGCAATCGCTACAAAATTTTCCATTAGTGACAACATATGTTATTTCATATAGCGAGTTTCCTTTACCTCTCAAGTAAAAAATATTAAAATTTGATTTTAATACATAATAGGAATCAACAAGAAATTTTTAAGAAAATAATTTAAAAATATTTAAATTTCATTTTTAACGACGTTACAAATTGCTTAAATTTTAAAATTCATAGCGCCATATGAATTATTTTATAAAATTCCAAGATAACTTTAGTTCTGTTCCATTTTTAGGACTTTTATAAGTTCGAAATAAGTTCACATTTTCACAATTAAACACATAATAACGAAATGGTACACATAACACACATCACTTTTCATGCCTATTAATTCAGCCCTTTATCGTGACGAGACGCTGTGATGCACACACACAAGTATAAAGCCGTGTGCTTATCTTGAGCCCAAAAATAAGCATATGGACATAGGCTCATGCTTGAGTGTGTATGGATACCGGTTTCACTAAACCATCGAATAATTCGGTGTCGCTACTATCAACGCAGTTTTTGGTACTCAGGAGTACCTTAAGGAGTATCTTAACACATACCCGTGATAACTATTTTTGCCGCACCCATGGCTTTGGCTACTAGCAACGTCACCAAACCGATCGGACCAGCACCCAGAATTAATAGTTTAGAACCTATTCCGATTTCGCCCCGTTTACAAGCGTGTACTCCCACTGATAATGGCTCTAAAAGCGCTCCTTCCTCTAAGCTCATATGATCGGGCAATCTATTACAAAAAATCACAAATACAGAAATTAATTTTCTTTCAATCTGCGACGACACATTTTATCAGTTTATTTCATATTGTATTCAAAGAGTTTCTTACTCGATAAACACCAATTAACAGCAATATAACAGTAACACATATATATAACATTAATATAATAATTTCCTATTTAACAATTTCTATTCAATAATTATTAACGATCTTATGTACGTACAAAATATTATATACCATGATGTTATACTAATTGTCTTAGTGCCGAGATACTGTCGTATCTTCAGATACTACTATTTTGTTAAGTAAGAAATTATAATATTAAAGTAATATTATTGTTAGTGTTTAATGAGTAGTTATCTTGCATCCACATCATTGTTTGCACACTATCGGATTTAATATAATTATGTGTAAGTGAACGCGAGCGTAGCATGATAGACAGTGCACTGGTCTGTCATGCCTGCAGAGGTCCCGGGTTCGATACCTGGTAGGAACCAAAATATTTATGCTCGTGTCTCCTTTCGGAAAAGGCCGGCAACCTCCCGAGAGTATTCTTGCCCACAGAAACACCTCTCAAAAAATCCACCGTTCGGAACCGGAATTAAAACTGTAGGTCCTATATACTTGTGACCATTGGATAAGCAGCGTGCGCACCACAAGCATATGCAAGAAGTGTATTGATACAGGACTTATCCTAAATTAAGAATAAAATATGTAAATAGTAAAACTATGTTTACTTGAAGCAGAAATCAGCTGCATGTTTGTAGAAACGTCTTAAGCTGCCGTGCACAGGCGGAGTTGCGCAAAACACAATATCTTTGCAAAGATTATAACGTCCCTCTTTGCAATGAGTACATATCCTGCAAGGCACGCCAGGTTCAATAGCAACACGATCACCAACCTATAAAAAATAAGAAAATATGAAGAATATATTTTATACAAGAATGTAACCATTCGTCAATATTAATATTAATTCATAAGAAAGAGTAAGATGAAGTCATTAAAGGTACATTCAAAATTTTTTTCAGGAAAGAAGATTTTATCAATTCTATCATTATCAATTCTATCATTAAACAACATTTTTTTACGTTAATGAATTATTCTTGTAGATATTTTAGATATTAAAATTGCGTTTTTAAATATTTTAGGGCTTAGTCTTTTTCTAATTTCTGATTTTAAATAGGAAAAATATTAAGTTTTGTAAATCATAATTTTTTTCCTCTCTAAAGAAAGTGTAAGCAAAATACAATTATTAAAAACAAAATGTGTAATTGTAAATACATCATTGATTTCGACGCATATTCTGTTTTTCGATTCAAAATTCTTGCAAAATTTTTTCTTCTGTATAGAACACTCTAACAAAGTTCTAACGAAAGTCCCAGAAATTATTTACATAGTCATAACGAAAATAAAAGATATTTTGTGTCAAAACAAGAAATTTATTCGGAATAAAAAAATTTTTTATAATTAATAAAAATGGAAACATAAATAAAACATTTCGCAACGAAGTTGAAACTTCAAATCCTTCCTGGATATATTCATGGATAAAATAAATACATGTATGTATGCGTATGCATAATATACCTTTAAATTCTTGACATTTTTTCCAAGTTTGGCGACAGTTCCAGAGGATTCATGACCAAGGATCATGGGTTTCTTCACTATAAAATCGCCGATTCTGCCATTGACAAGATAATGAACATCCGACCCACAGATTCCTACGCATCCCATTTCAAGAAGCACTTCTATAAAAGAAATTACAATCTTTATCATGATATTCCTAACTTACTAAAATATAAAACGAAATATTGCAAAAATTTTGCTTTTAAATTCTCTTTTATCCAAACTGTCAGTATAATGATGAATTTAATTAACCAAAACAGACTTTCTCAATACTTTTTCTCTATAATTCTAATTTTAGCAACTGCTTTTCATCAAAAGATAAATCGAAAATTTTAAATTATTATATGTATAACTTTCTAACTAATTAAGATCAAAATGTACGCGCGAATTGCTCAATAGCTTTAAATTGAAATTAATCTTCTTAATTTATCAGTATGTATCTGGAACAGCATTGCGTATAATATACATAATACTTCGACGAGCGTCATCGCATGTATTAATAAATCTCGATGTAAATTAATTCATACATATATAACAAAGTATTATTCAATCGGATAAAAAATCCTTTTACGTTTCCAATATAAACTAAGTTTTTATGGCACTTTCCTCTCTAATAAAAAAATAATATTATCTAACAAAAACAAATGCTAATTAATTCACTAACACGTTTTTTATTAAGACAATGTCATTAATATTAATTATACGTTTCTCAATAATGCATTTCTTATCAAAGTACAAATTACTCTGAAATCTTTTTGCGATAAATTTATCAAAGCTAGTTAAAATATAGTAAATATTGATAAAAAGGCATCTTTTACCATTGTCTTCTGGTTCCTCGATACTCGTGTTTTCCTAAAACAGGAAAAATTATTCATAACTAAATCTAATTACACGAAAAACAATTTAAACGACATTATAAAAAAAGCTGTGTACACAATAATAATAAAGCAGTTTACAAAATTTGACACTCTAGAAGTTGGTATAAAATAGTTTGCTATTCCAATTAAAAATTTTGCAATTATCTTTTATAAGATAAAAATACTGAATGGCAAGAAAAAATTTGAAAAATGCCATATGACAAAAAATTTGTTGTTTAATGCAAATACTCTGCAAATGATTTAAAAGGTCAATTCATTAATATGGAGAGACACGTACAATCGATTTGCAAGACGACTATAGCCTTATGTAAAGTTATATTTAAGAATCAGGATCAACATGTGATTATAAAAATAATAATCTAAATATATACGTATAGGTATATTAAGGAATTCGAATTGTTCGAAATCTAGTAAAGATGTTGTTTATAATCTTGTATTCATCATATATATCACATAAGAAACACTATTGTTTGTAGCCTTTGTTAAAAAAAATTGATATAAGAATTTATTTTTATTAAATTAATAGTTTATTTTCAAAGTAAGAAATTTTCCTATAGCAAAATGTAATTTTTTACATTACTTTTTTGCTTGCATAAAACAAAATTAAACAGAAATGATACAAATAGCACATTAGTTTTTTCTAGTTTTGAAATTTAGTGTTTTGTATTAAAAAAGATGCAATTCCTTGTTACTTGCTTTAAAAAAAAAAACATAAATAAAAAACTAATTTATAATGTAGTCTCAAAGGGTAAAATAAACAATAAATAAAAAGAGCCACACACAAGATAATATTGGTAATAAAAATCATTTATTTAAAATACGTTCGTTAATAATATAATTATATACTTTTTGGCCAAGATTTGGCCATCTTCAGTATGTAAAAAATACAGAATAAATTAAATTATAAATGTTGATATATTTACGTAACAGCTCAATAAGATAATTTAAAGTTAAAATTTTTTTTACCTATAATATAAAAAATATACTTAAAATTAATTATAGGATTTATTAGAAGTAAAATGTACAAATAAATATAATAAAATACATTTAGAGTCTAACGTAATAAAAAAATGTTCAGTTTAACAATATGTTCGGTTGTGTAATAATAATTTTAGTGCATTAACAACTATAATTTTAATTTTCGATAATCTTATATTGAGCTATTGCGTAAATACGCCGAAATTTATAATTTAATTTATTCTGTATTTCTAATTTATTTTTCACATATTATATTATTAACAAACATATTTTAAGTAAATGATTTTCACTATCAATATCTTGTGCATGGCTGTGTGCTCTTTTTATTTATTGATTATATTTATGAGAGAGAGAAGTCACGTTTTAATTAATTAAAAATATAATAATTTCAGTAATCCTGAAACTTGTAAAATATAAGACAAACTAAGACATCCGTGCGGAGTTTTTTTATTGACAGCTTTTGGTACTTATCATTATTTCAGGAATTACTTCATACTTTACATTACATATCGAACATATGTTTCAGTTTGCCGCATATATCTTACAGGTTTTAGGATTACAAAATCATTATATTTGTACAGGTTTAAAACGGATGTATATATTGTGTATCATTTCTTGCCTCTGACGTCATACAATCAATACGGCGCCTCGAAATAGTCGAATCTTAATTTGATAAATGAATACAAATCATATATATAACATTACTATAATCTACATATTAAAAAAATTATAGTACATAAATGTGCTATTTGATTATATTAAATAAACATAATTATAAATTTTTTATTTCCTTTACAGCAGTTGGTAAAATAATATAATTTAATATTATATTTTGTGAGAGTATATAATATTATATTTCGAGAGTATCGCTTGACTTTTTCATTTTTATCTATTAATTACGAATTAAGCTAATAAAAGTTTGTAATTTAATCGAAATAATAAAAGTGATGCATTCGATTCGAATATGAGCAAGCGCAGTTATACAAGTTCGTTTATACTTTAGCAACGTGTGTACTAACCATACGCAAATCGTTGATGCCATACAGTACAGCAGAGAGATTGTCCTTAGCCATGATTTTTCTACAAAAATTCGAGACAAGTTTAGTCTCCAGCTGTAATCCGCTTATGTCAAGTCGCTTCTGGATACTTTAATAAGCACAACACACGAGGGACTCGACGTTCAGGAGAGAACTTGCTGCTATATATACACGCGTCGCAATTATACGTATGTACTTGGAGCTATCAATGTGGCCTTATTATCGCCAGCTAGGCCGTTTACTTCACCACCACCATCACCAACAGCATTCTTCGCGGCGCAAACTTATTGAACAGTCCAATTTGTTCATATATTTCGCAACTGTACCATCAACCATTGCATAATGCCATCACAGAAATACGTTGTTCGGAACAAATCGATTTACATCGTATATGCAGTCCTATTTTTCCTTCTTGTTATCAATCGGTCTTATGTTCGCAGCTCGCGTGTTGCATTACGACAGCGAAATATGTAATATGTGATAGAGGAGACAAAATAAATAGATAAAACAATAATACCTCTCTTAATGGTATACCAAGGGTATCTCTACAGAGAAATGCTCCTTTCGTACTCGAGGCTGAACTGTCGCTTCTTAGGAACAACTAATTTTATCCTAAGATCAGAAATCTTTAGCGCATTCCTATATTTAGGAAAAGTATTTCTCAAAATTCTTTCAATTGGTCGAAGTTTTGAGAGAAGAAATTTCAGATTTATCTCCTCAGATAAAAAAGGACTAAAAGAGAAATTTTAGGAAGCTATTTATTTTAGAAAGCTATCTAATTTTAAAGAAACCTGATATCATGTGAAAGTTTACATAGGCTGATATTCATAGTCAATTCTTATATTTAAAACCATCTTAAGTTTAGTCTTGAGATGTCACGAACCAATCAAGCCAGTTAAGGCAGTCTTGATGAAATAAGAACAGACTATGAATACTGACGTAAGAAATTCCGAATATTAAGTTGGGTTGTGATGAATCTTTATCATTTAGGAAAAATCTAGAATTTCTATGTTTAAATTAAACTATCAGGACATGCTCCAAATTATAAAAAGTTTTACATTAGTAATAAATTATATTGATACTAGTGCTCTCTCTCAAGATAATATTGTTCATTAATAATACACAGATTATACATACATTTAATCTCAAATATAATTAAAATTGGTATGTACATGAGACCAAACCAATATTATTTTATATTGATTTACTTATACATATTTTGACAATATCTATTTATAATTACATCATAGTTATTATAAATACTATAAAAATACTCAAAACAATGAAATGAACGTTTAATACTCGAGATGAAACTGCTTTCTATAATTTTTCTTTTGTTGAATATTCGTTCTTAGAAGAACACACTATATTACATTTTTCTCTTATCTCTTTTAAATGTACATTTTTCGTATAAGATAAAAAATATTCAATTTTGAAAGCATTTTTATCCATCATAAATATTTATCTTTATATATTTAAGTTTGAAAGGATCAGAATAATAAAAAAATTATTTGAAACAGTTTGCCATTTATGGTTTGAAATTATGTTACATATAAAATAAAACAAAAATAATGTAGAGAAATAACCATATTCATGCACATATTGTGATAAACTATTTACAAAAATATTTTGTCAATTATGTAATAAATGACTTACAATAACTTGTATTTTATTCCCAACCCCAAATTCCTGTTGATTCTTTAATCGTAGCTCTATTATCTCTTCGTATCCTCGTTACTGCGCTTGCTTCTCCTTTAACAAGTGCTCTTTTTGCTTGACTTCTCTCACGTTTGTCAAGTGCTATCTTTGTTCTCTTTTTTATTACATCTGGTGCTATTGTAGCAGCTGTTGAAACACTTCGTATACTTCGTGTATCATCATAAAAATGTACTGTTTCGTTTTCCGGGTTTGATGATAAATCATACGATGTAAAATTATTGTGTTTTTCATTGGCCATTACATTTTCTATTGTATCTTCATTATATCGTTTACATTCATTTTCTGTATTATTTTGATTGTCAGGACATGGTACAGATATTTCCTTCTGTTCATCATCATTATTCAATGCTGGATCTTTTGTTGAAACATCAAATTCTACTTCTTTTGCAACAATTTTGTTTTGAAGTTGTAAATTTTTTAATTGATATTTCAAATCCTCGATATTATCAACACAGTCTTCATATATTTCTTCCTCACTATCTTCACTGTCCTCATTATCTTCATTGTTTTCATTGTCTTTTTCTTCTTTATATTCAATACCATTTTCTGTTAAGAAAATATCAATTTCTTTTTCTATTTGTCTTGTAAAGCCACTGGCTTTGACTTCAGCATCTATGCTGTCTTCACGTCTAAAATGAATAAAACATTAATTTACTAGATCAATAAAAAATATAATAATTAAAATATAATATAGAAGATATATTTTTCAGCTACTTACGATATATCTTGAAAAGTTGGATACAATTCGCTCTCATATCCAAAACGTCTCTTAAAGAAATCACGGATACAGTTTACATCTCTTTCAAAATACGCTTCTGCATTTTCATGTTCTGTAGAAATCATCTGAGGAAAATCAATGATAATAGGTTTGCCATCATCTTTAATCATTATGTTAAATTCATTGAAATCTCCATGTATAACACCATGATTCGCCAGTTTAATGATCAAATCCATAAGCTCATCATATAACTCTTCCACATTGTTTACTTCATTTATATTACACCTAAATAAGATAATATAAACAAGATGTAAGATTTTTTAGGTTTCTATATAATATTATATAAATACTTTCTATACAAAAGATATGTATTTTGTGAGTTGTCTCCGTATCTAGATCTATTATTAAAATTAATGCCAACATTTTGTTGATAATACAGTATCAGTTTGCTTTTAATTCTGATGAAGTAAACTGCAATATGAAATGTTGGCATTTTAACAACAGATCTAGATATAGAAATAATCCATGAAATGTGTAGCTTTTATATATAAAGCATTATATAATTAAATAGCATTCAGTTAATAACAGAAATATTAATAAACATACAGAGGTCCACCTTCAACCAGCTCCATAACAACACAATGCCTATTAAAGTCGATTGGTTTTGGCACAGGAAAACCTCGATCTAAAAGTGCTTTCATATACGCAAACTCTCTAGTTGCAGAGATTCTTGACAAGTACAACCAAGATGCAGAATGTCTGTGCTGATGATAATCTCTTTTTTCTTTAATGTTTCGAAAGCATGTTCTACCCAATCTATGTAACTTTAGACAAAGCGGAGTTTCTTCTTCATTAGCAACAACGTAAATATTAGATTCCTTGCCAACACCAATCTGATTACCAAAGGAACGGATTGTTCCTCTTTGTGTTAAAACTTTTAAGGCTAAATAATCATAACCAGCGTTCGTCAAACGATAACCATCATCTGAAAATTTATTATATGCTTTAGATATGTTTTTAATAGAATCTATGATTACATGTAAATTTCAATGCCTTACATCGTTTGCCTCGTTCGTAACTGAGCAATTTATGCTTGCACATTTCTTTCAGTAATTTATGAACTCCGCCGTAACGCAGATTCGCTATTTGTGTGGCAAGTAACGCAGGTACAAGTTCATGATTTTTCATACCCATTTCAATCTAAAATATAAAAAATTCAAACTATTACAATCAGAGAAAGGAAAGTAAAACATATACAGATCTTATAAAAACTATTTTTCAATACTCTCATATATATATTTTTATACGAATATACAAATATAAATTAAGAGTCATACCGCTGTCAGAACACGAAAGTTTTCTGGGGTTAAATATCGTAATATTTTAACGTCCAATTTTCCCATATTAGATCTCAGATCGTGTGGCGTCGAGTGACTCACCGCTCTGTGCGATTGACTCGCGATTTGTAGACCCGAGTTCAATCCCACGTGCGCCCAAACGCGATGATTTTCGCGTTTAATGAGCCAAAAAATGGCTCCACCTGGTGATCAAAAGATCTATGATCATCAGCGCCGTTCGGATTCGGCGTTAAGCGGGGAGCACAGACTTTTGCATAACGCATAAAGCATGTGCATAAGGAATTTCATTGGTCCATTGACTCATGCATAAGAAAATGGACCAATGAAATTCCTTATGCACATGCTTTATGCGTTATGCAAAAGTCTGTGCTCCCCGCTTTAGACATTCGGCCGTCATGATTCAGTAATTATTTTAAATCTCAGATCATTAATTAGAGGATTTATAGAATGCAAAAATAATTTTATCTTAAAATTTCAAACTTTTTAATTTATTTCTTTTATCTCTCCTTGAATCGTCGTACACGTGTAATTTGTAGCATTTATAGGTTACATGGCCACCATGACCTAACACTACCAATGCTACCAATCCTACCTTACACCAGAGAGAAATATATAGTGTTTTCGGCCTGCGAGTTGGAAAATACTTTGCTATTGGTGGACTTTTTCACGCTCTACCAATAGGAGATCACGAAACATCATTAATTCAATCTAGGTTAGTGCAAACCCGGTTGGACCGAAAATGCCATAGTGTCAGCTGATGTCAGCTGTCAGCATTGTAAGCAACGATATTAAGCCGGCCATTGAGAAAACAGATCTAAACAAACCGTATGAAGTTATAAGTGCAAAATAATGATGCAGTTTATTTCTCAGTAGTTTATTTCATCAATAACTATGAATTTTAGAAACATTTTACATTATTTTTATGTTATTTATCTTAATATCATTTATTGCTATTACAAATTTACAATGGTGAATTGTAATAAAAGGGAAGACGATAAAACAACGACACTGATAGGATTGGCCTGTAAACAGACTACGAAATGTTCAAGCTTATGTTTTTGTCGTAACTTTGAACAAGAATTATTTCAAAGTGATCATGAAAAGTTCTTTGGAGCATATAGAATGTGGCCTGAGCAATTCAATTTGCTAGTAAATTTGCTTCATCCTCATTTTAAGAAGAACATCTTCAAACCTTCTCTTCCTACAGAGCTACGCCTAGCTGTCACTTTGTTGTAAATAAAATTAATTTTATTTCAACCATTAACTTTAATTTTATTTCGCTATTTTCTTTGAAGTAACCTTATCATGATTATTACAGGTACTTATCTCAGGGTGATAACGCTAAGTTAAAACACGCAAAATTTGGAATAGGCAAGATAACTGTTCATAAAATAGTGAATGAGACTTGTTGGGCAATTTGGACAACTTTACAGCCAATTGTTTTAAAACCTCCTAGTAAAGAGGACTGGATATCCATCAGTGAAGATTTCATGAAAAAGTGGCAGTTTCCAAACTGTCTAGGAGCATTAGATGGGCGTTATATGACAATTCAGGCCCTGCCTAATTCTGGATCAGCATTCTACAATTACAAACAATGGCTGCGTTCAGCAGAAAAACCGTGAGTGCTCAGTAATTCTTTAATGATTAGTTCTTGCTTTTAATTCTTTAGCGGATCTAATTGATGGAATTAATCATATTAAAAAATCACTGAATAGTCAATGACTAACTTTTTCTGTTGAACACAGCCAATTTTTCAATATGATATTACTTGCTATTTGCGATGCAACATATAAGTTTACATGGATCAATATTGGACAACGTGGTGAGTATATTTAGTTATTAATTTTATTATCTATAATTGCTATCCATTAACCATCTATTTCTAGGTTCTACAAATGATGGAGTATGGGCAAATACTAACCTTGAAAGTTATTTGGTTGCAGGCGATTTACTCTTGCCAGATCCCACTTTACTTCCAGGGACAAATACTCCTTTTCCCTTTGTTTTTATCGGTGATGAAACTTTTCCTCTATCGATACATATGATGCGGCCCTATCCTAACGAAAAGCTGACTGATGATATGAGGATCTTTAATTATCGCTTATCACGTGTACGACGCACAATAGAGAATACTTTTGGAATTTTGACTGCGCGATGGCGTATCTTACACAAACCTCTTTACATGTCAATAACCAACTGCGAAAATGTGTTGAAAGCCCTCGTCTGCCTACACAATTTTATTATGCTTGGGGAAGAACATGAACCTATAAACAATCGTCAGTATTGTACAACAGATTTAATTGATATTGAGGAAGATGGTGATATTAGGAAAGGTCAATGGAGGCAGCAATATTCCCCACATTTTATTGAACTAAGTCAAATGGATGCTAATCATTCTACAGCGGATACAGATTCTATAGCAAAGGAAATGAGAAATACTCTTAAAGAATACTTTATTTCTTCAACTGATAAAGCTCAGGCTCTATAGTAATACTAATACACATATTCAGAGGTGCTATTATCAATCCTCTTATGTGATATTATAATTTCTAAGTATACTTTCCTTTTAGAGGACACACTCGACACAAATACGAATGATAAAGATAGAACAATATTTGTATCGAGTGTGTTCTTTGTTTACCGAATTATAACTCTGCGGTTTCATATTATCTAGTCAGTTAGTATTTCTCCTGTATCTTGTACATATACATCTTTATTTTTACTACAATAACTTAAAATTTATTTTAATTCTAATTTAACATTGTGAATTCTATTATTTTTATACTGATTTGTTGTTACTTTTATATTATTATATTTTTACTGCGTTCTTTATACATTTATAATTTTTTCTACAATTTCGTTTATATCAATGATCATGATGAGTTACTTTTATTTAAACTTTAAGATATAGTTTGCGTCACTTATTGATTGATTTATTATTTAATTTAGTATGTAAATATTAGTATATAATTAGTATATTCAGATTTGATCTTCCAGCTATCTGTGAATAATGTATTTATAATCTTCTGGAGGTGATTCTCAACGGCCAAAGAATGACAAATTTATATGTATAACTCTACGTTCTGAAGAAGGCTTAAAAACGAGTTGCAATATGTATAAGTATATAGTAATATGTATGTGTATAGTTATATCTATACATGTATAGCAATATGTACATGTATAGTTTAATTAACTGTATTACACATGTTATTCATTAATGTGATTAAATGTATTATACTACTTAATTTATTAATTATCTCTGCTCACATTAATTTCCACGCTTGATTTTTATTTTCTTATTATCCTTTATTTTCCTATTTTAATTGTAAGGAGATCTTATTGTTTCTTTGATAAGTTTATTATGTAGGGTATGTCTGGAACTTTAAGAACAAACTTTAAGGGATGATAGATTTTATCAAAAGAAACAACTTTTATTAAGGAATTTATGTACTACAAGTATCTTTGTTACACTCTGTGCATTGAGGATTTTGTAAATTAAAGATTTATAATTCATATAAACAGAATGAAACGGATTAAAATTAAAATTATCTAATTGATAAAATTCTAATCTTTAGTTTGCAATCCTCAGTCTCCGATGCATTAAACGCAACTGGTCAAGTGTTTTTTTTTTTTAAATTAGCATAAGAACAGAGATGTTTTACGTACCTATAGAATTCTAGGATATATATATATGTCCTGATAAAAAATTGTAACTTTTAAACAAATCTTTCCGATTTCGACTTGTTTTAAAGAAGAAGGTACAAAATATGATGTTAATGAGAATAATTTAATTTTAAATTTGCGAATAATTTATTGCAAAAGTATTCATAAAACGAACCAATAAAAATCCTTCATTTGCTTCCTTTCGATCAAAAAAACTCTGATTGGTTGATTTATGCAAAGGTTTATCCAACCATGACACTGGAATGCTTCATTGACAGAAGAAAGAATTTTACGAATTGACCAATTAAAGCGTCGACTTGACAGAAGTAGAGTTCTATATATAAAGAGAAAATACGATCGAACCTCTACCATCAGAGATATGCTGGATTTACACTGTATCCGACTTTCGTTGTACGATGATTCTGTAACTAATCAAAAAACAGGATTTTGCTTTGTATCGATGATACGATTTTTCTGATTGGTTGCAGAGCGTCATCGTATAACGCACATGGGATGCAGTGTGAATCCAGCAATAGGATTCCTATTCTACTCTCTACGCCGCCATATTTGGACCGCTCCAGTATCGTAAATACAAACATACTCTAACCTCTAACGGTTCCTCCTACTCTGTACTCCGATGTGGCGGTATTGACTTTCTCGAATAATTTAATTTCATTTAAACTTGTATTCTCACAATTGTAAGTATGTACATTTCATAAATATGTACATAGGAAAGATTTAAGAACAATACCATAAGATTATTATATAAAAAACATAGAATGTAAAATATAAGCGAACGCTTGGCATGTCACGTGTGTCAGTTGTATAATCAACTGCGGTCACAATATAGCTGTTTCACTTAAGAGGGGATATACGATTAAAATACATATCAGACTACCAATTAGAAACTTGGACATCGATGTCGCTTCTCTTTATATATAGGACTCTAGACAGAAATTGCTGACGCTCGATCGAAGGAGTCGAGCGGTCGGACGGCCGTCGCGTTGCTCGAGATCACTCGACGGCAATAAAAACCAAATACAAATCGGTGCGTTGAACCCTCGTGCGTAATGTCGAGTTGTTGCGAGTTGTCATTGTCACATGTCGTAAGCAGGGTGACAGGCGGTTTTGTGTGTACGTGTGTCAAACAGTGTGTGTCAAAATTATGAAAACGCGTTCGCGCGCCGCCGATATAACGAAGTCCTGAGTCCACCCAATTCAACCGTCCTCGCAGGCAATGGGCAGAGCCGGCTCGTTCGCGGTTATCACACACGTCTGAAAATTCAGCCACCGCAGGTCCTGGCACTCAGGTACGTCCGGAGCTAACCGGAGCGTGGTGGAGTGTGTGGTGGAGTAGAGAGACCAGCAGTCAAAGAGCAAAACATCCGTATATAATTCCGCTTGATTCCACTTGATTCTCCGAGGTCACACTCGACGTTTATGCGCGGCTCGCCGTTTATTCGCAAAATACGCTACAAATCATTCGTAAGTCGAAGCGCGATATCGGCAAAGTTATATATATATATATATACACGAGTGTATTGCGTTATCGCCGATAACCGCTAGACGAGACGTATTCCCTCTCTCCCTCCCGCCCTTTAAATTCTATTAAAGAATTGCAGAATGTTGTGACGTTCGTTTGATCGTGCTAACTCAGCGGTGATGTTCGGACTCTGCGATCAGTGTTTTAAGTCATGATCACGCGTGGAATCATTTCCAAGCACGTCTACATTTACTTGCAAAAATTCGAGGTCGCTCGACACGCCTCGCCTGTCGTTTTATCGCAAGAATTCGCTATCTGTTCAAGGGTCACATTGTGAGTCATTACGTGAACTAATTTTAATTTTGCAATTCTTCGAGTCACATATCTCTAGTAGTAATTCAGCCGATCATACGATCGCATGTATATATGTGCAATAACGTTGCGTGTATACGTGATGCGTTACGCATATACGCGTGTTGCGTGACGATTGAAGGCCGGATCAATTTTGCTACGAAGTTTGAAAATAGTATCGTCGTTATTTACCGAACACGACTGGCATAAATTAGATTAATGAGACTTGTCACGATTACGAAACGCGATCTCTGAGATTCCACGGCAATAGCAAGTGATATATTGTATACTTACATTTTATATAAAATGAGAAAATCACCGTTCTTTTAATTGTGCATGATTGTACATTATTTATGTACTTTCCAGGAAGTAACTTTTTCTCTAGGCTGGGAAATGTAAAAACTGAAAAATTTTTATATGCTCTGTGTACATATACTATACATAATATGTACATAAAAATTTTTATTTTTTTATTTTAGAGAAAAAGTTACTTGATTGATTCTCAGTAAGAGATACAGACACAGTGTAACACAAAGAATCATTTTATCCTTGTTGTTTATATTAATGTTAAACAGTTTTTTTTTTTATTGAAAAAGAAATAAAAAGTTGCTTTGGAAAATTAAGCCCATCCTGCTACATTATAATACACATTTATGCTGAAGATGAACTAATAATTAGTGATAAATGTAGAATAGATTTATAATAGTAAACGACATCATACCATTTAAAAAAATAAAATTGAGATGAAAAATATTAAGTTGAATCTATCTCAATATTCTGTATATTGATATAAAAATTTTATTAATATTATATGTATATTCATATTATGTATTTTGATATATAGCTTAATATTTTTATTTGAGTACAGATAAACTTTTATCGGAATTTATAATGTATTCTATGACTGTGTCTTGAAACCATTCCTAAGTAATTTTATTATTATATGAAATGTTAAACAGAGATGAAGTGATTTATTGTATTATCTGTATATCTTGCTGGAAAGCACCTAATGTTCTAGACTTCCTAGAATTAGCGATATTAATTATTAAAATATTTTTTATAATTTACAGGAATAATGTTGAACAGTATAACGAAACACATTTTGCACTGCTGTCTGCTGCTTATAGTCATACTAGTATTTGAATTTGTATCTGGAGGCCTTCGGTGGAATACGGATAAGAAGGAAGAAATCGATCCATGGGCTAGATACGGCATTATCGGTGCAATCACTTTGTACCTGTTACGCACAGTGACGTTTCTTTCCTTGCCACAAGTTTTATTCAATTTTATAGGATTAACGATATACAATGCATTCCCTGATAAAGTAATCTTGAAAGGCTCACCTCTGCTTGCACCGTTTATCTGTATAAGAATAGTGACTCGCGGAGATTATCCGCAATTAGTAAAGGCGAATGTGAAAAGAAATTTAGACAAATGTATAGAGGCTGGTCTCGAAAACTTCCAAATAGAAGTAGTGAGCGACAAGCCAATAGGTTTAACACTGCATCGCAGGGTGCGAGAAGTTGTTGTCCCACCGAATTATCGCACAAGTAGTGGTGCCTTATTTAAAGCTCGTGCTTTACAATACTGCCTCGAAAGCTCGGTAAACGAATTGGCTGATCACGACTGGATTGTTCATCTCGATGAAGAGACTCTGATGACTGAAAATTCTGTTCGTGGCATATTGAACTTTGTACTGGACGGCAAACATCAATTTGGCCAAGGGTTAATTACATATGCTAATGAGGATGTTGTTAACTGGATTACAACCTTGGCCGATAGCTTCAGAGTAGCAGACGATATGGGAAAGCTAAGATTACAGTTCACCATGTTTCACAAGCCATTTTTTAGCATGAAAGGATCTTATGTTATCACACAGGTAATTACTGATAATTTCTAATCATAACAATAAACCATAGAAGATGTATCATCTTTATACATACACACATCTACGTTCTTTTTATCTTAATTATATATGTATAATAAAAATG